ATATATATATATATATATATATATATATATATATATAGGAATGTACTATATAAACAGAACAAAAGCGTGCCACTACAAAAAGTAAAACAATCTTGAAAGTTATAATCAAACGATGGGATGATAATCTGATAACCAATTAAAGGTGCAAAAAGGAGAGAAAACGTAGATTAGAAGGAAATGGATAAGCTGCATTGTAAAGAAAGGAGATGAAAAAATGCTTGAATAAAAGAATGAAAACGGAGATTAATTGATTATTTCGAAGTCTGATCCAGCAGAAATTTTAAGACAATGAGGCATTTTGGGGAAGATAGCACGCAAGTAACTGGATATCATTCCCAAACAATTTTTTCTTTTAATGAAATGTGAAAATGACTTTCACTTTGGTGGGTAATAGCAACTGCACATAATCAACAAATCTAACATATCATTCCATTTCCTCTTCTATTCATGAGATTCAATTCGACAGATATTAAACTGATTAAATTACAACTACATATACTCAACTAATGTAAACATAAACAAGCTGCTAAAAGGTGATCTCTTCAATAAAGCAACTGTATTTAAGATGGGACAAGTTCCTTCGCATCACCCCACTTCTCCGAAATCCAACGTATCGTCCTCACTGGCAACTGAGGGCCAATAAGCGGATTTAACTGATGCAAATAAACCAAAATCCAGAAAAGCCAACAGCAACAAGCAGTTAACACAATCATCGTTTGGACTGTTCCTGCAATAAGCCAGTTGAACTAAGCATGACATACGATGATGCAAGAATAAAGTGGAGGTAAAAACAAAGAGTACGTAACTCACGTACTATTTTCTTTAACATAAATACTTCAAAACAACCAGTTCGACTAATTTCGAAACAACCAATTTTCGGTCCAATCAACTACTGGTAATATTCGTAAGTGTAAATCCCCTCTAAGACTGCGCTTTCATGCTTACATATGGGGACGATGCATACTTTTAAATTGAAAGTAAGTTGTCAATAATTAATTGGAAAATAATTTAACTACTCTCTAATATATTCAAACAATAGCAAGTGTTGAGACCTCGACTAGGAAAACGGCGAATCAAAGTTTGACAGATTTCTGTATTAACATGAACTGGATTTAGTTCTAGAAACCATGTTTTCTTACGGAATAAACGAAAATGCTATGCATGCTATACCTCGATTTGGTCCTTTGGGTACGATGAATGGTCCACCAACGCCGACAATTATCCAGAATGCTGTAACTGTGAATACTAGAATAATTACACCCATCCTGAAATGAACAAAATTAACAACACTTCTCCACTAAACACTAGCGAATGGACATATAATTATCTTTAGTGTTAAGCAAGAAAATGTGATATTTTTTTCAAATCCTCGAGATGTCATTGAAATACCGCACTTCCCGAACACCAAGAGTTACTTCGGGACGAAAACCAACTCACCTAGTTAATCAACGTAGTACAACGAACACATCACATGAAGACCAAAGATTGAAGGTCATGAGTGGCGCTTGCAGCAGTATATCTTTAGTAGATGGGTTTCGTCGAGAGTGCTGGTTCAGTTATTAGTGATGTGGGATATTCTTGGTTTAGGGTGACAGTATGAGACTTGACCTTTAACCTCACCTGTTGTTCGTGTTGCAGCGCATTTCGTGTAGTTTCAGGTTACGCAAAAATGAGACTATGTCCAATATGCGGACCAAAGCTTTCGGCGTTTTGGTAAGTAATTCAAATGTATCAATTTATTAGTTTCACACGAAGTGTTTTATAGAAAAAGACAATAGACAAGAATCGAGAGCACGTAAAAATCTCTTGCATATTTTATTATTTTGAGCTAAGAAAATTTATCGCTGGATAGCAGCGCTTATAAAATATTTTTTAATCTTCTTGGTCTTTTAACTATCCTTACTCTACTTGTAAAATAATAACTACATATTAAATGAGTAAAAGGATAAATGTGTATTAATGGATGTACTGTTTTGATGGAAGTTTTGTTTGTTTAGATCTATGAAGAAATATATTTTAGCATGATAATGTCAGTTTGGGGTGTTTTCTTCCTTGGTCTGCTCGGTGTATTTTTCTACGTTCAGGCGGTAAATTTATTTCCGGATCTTCATTTCGAACAGGAGGAACCGGTAGACGGAGTGGTTTTGCCATTAACAACTGCGTCAGTTGTTTTTTTTTTTGATCTTACACTTATTAGGACTTTTGGGATTTGAAGTATTATTAACAACAAAATAAAATTGATTTCATGGTTGATTTGGCGTTTAGAACTTATAATTGAACTGTATACTTTAAATTAACTATAGGATCGATTGCTTGGTATTTCGACACAATGCTGCTTGTTGATATGCATCGGAACACGTCGAAATTATTCTTGCTTCGGCGTAATAGTTTGAACGCTATGTGAACTGCCCATGTCCTTCTAAAAGAAATAGTTGTTACATCTATTTTATGCAATCATTTCAGTTTCTTTCGCTAGTGAATAATGTGAACTATTTTTAGTGTAATTGAAGATAAATACGCGGAAAAGGCGACACAGTGCTGGGTAGCTGCTGGTATGTACCTTGTCACGTTGATTGTTGTTTTTTGGCAAAACAAATTCAATTCCTCAGCAATATTTTGACTTTCATTTCGATTCTGTCTATTACCGTGATATTTCATATGTTGCTTCCATTCCGAGAAATTAATAGCAGAACATAGATGATTCAATTTTTATATATGATTCAGTTGTTATTAAATTTCCTTCGCCTTATTAACCGGTCGATAAACTAGTTGATTTTATGTTATATCAATTTGGATGTGAAGTAGTTTAGATCATTCAAGATGTGGAGCTAGAATTATGATTTCAATTCTGATAGAACTGTGATTTGTTAAGGTTTATTACATTCCTGGGCTATATGAAAAGGAGAGATTGTATAGATCGAAGCATTTGCTAGTGTTTTTTCATCATACTCGTTAATTCTCTTTTTACCAATCCGTTGTACATAGTTGTCGGTTTCATTCCCAAGCATTATGCTTATGCTGTAGGTTGTATAAAAAGTTTACTAAATGGTGAATTGTTTGCTTGAAGTGAAGTATCCTATCCATTGTTTTTGGAGCAACTTTTAATGGAAAATATATTGTGTCAGTTTCGATTATTTGAATCATCAATATCAAAAGATACGGATAAGTATATATGATTTTATGGTGAAAGCTTATCAGACGGAAAATTAGGATTCAAAGAAACAGATAGAGGTAGATATTTAAACAGTTTTCAAGTAATCCTCAGTAGTAATACGCATTTCTTTTCTAAAGACGAGACTTTTCATTCAAAGACCGCTCTTCAGCTGTTCTGTATTACCAAAGACGGCTGGTTGCAGTTGTCGAGAAGTCAATTTTTGGAATACACATTTACCCATTAATTGTTACCTGTTCATCGCAAATAAGTTATAGAGATATCCAACTTGGTTTTGCACCAGTTCAAACTTTTATTTTCCATTACTTAAAATATGAAATGACCTTACTAGTGACTAACGAAATTGCTGGTAGAAATGCCATAAACTACTTGAAAGGGAAACATTTTTATTTCGCAGTCCTGTCCTGAATGTAAAACCTGCTTTGCTTTTATAAATTGCCAAGGAAAAAGTATGATAGTTTTTCTCTTTTTGTGTTGGAAAATTTTGAAAGCAGTGAGGTCATGAAAGTACCACGGTCGGTTTTTATTGGATTCTCTCATTTTATTCCGTCGAAAATTTGAATATTTTTCGAAACTGGCTGAACAGAAGGAGCAGAATGTGCTCTTCTTTTTCATCAAGAATCATGATATGGAGAAACAAAGAAAAGTGAGAGAGAGAGAGAGA